CGGATAGTAAACATTTGATTAAAGAGTTAAAACGGCTAACAAATTTATTTATGGAAAATAATTATCCTTTGGGTCTTATTGAGAACTACAAATCGCTCCTTATTTCAATATATGCTTTTAATGTTTAGCAGTATATGTCGCTTTTTAATCGCTCTTAAATCATTCTGGGAGGATGAATTTTCCACGTTTGAATAATCTTTAGACTACCATGTACATAATACTATAGTTATCGTAATTTAATTTTTACAGACATTTAGAACTATTAAATATTTCATTATAATAACCTATTCCCTTTTTTACTGTTATTAAGACGTCGCAACTCCGGAATATCCGGAAACCTTGCAACGGATGTCGCCCTAGTGACTCGGCTCTCGCCATTTTCTATGAATCCATCGTTTTACAGTCTAATTTCTGACTTCAGCCTACAGGTATAATAATAATAATCACTAGTTCAAAAAATATATACTCATAATTGTTCCATTTGGACATGTGTACTATTTGTTTATTGACTCAATGTGACTCAGCTTTTGCCATCCTAATTTACTTCACAAGCCTCAACTACTCAGGATTTTTAAAAGTTATGTAGATGTATTCAGATTAGATAATTTTTCGGTACATTTTTAGGCCAATTTCTTCGTTTCGTTCATGTCTGTTTTGATGCTAGAGCACATGAGACATAAGTTTTACTTTATACTTAATTGTGAAATCTAAGATTATGTGTCCTTAGGTTTAGTCTCAGTCTCCTTTATCTATATCGCGTTGGCTTTACTTTGTTTTTGCAGCTCGATCCAAGAGACAGTAAGGCCTAGTGGAAAGTAACTAGTCCGCCATAGTTTCATGATAATTTACATTATGGGAGCTTTGAATTGGTGCATTCTCAGACGTTCTGTCGATATCGCCAGTTAGGGGCGCCATACGTAGCACAGAGTTATAACTTATCACCCATCATTGATAAGCTTTTACTCTGTGCCAAGGACGGTATCTCTTACTGAAGATGCTCGCGCAACATTTTGAGTGTGCCAAGTCAACGGTTTAATGCCGGAAATTATACTGAATATTGTGACAGGACCAGGCGTTTCCACTAGGCTTCGCTGTCGCTTGATCAAGTTGCGAAAGCAACTATATATTTCAAATTTAACTATCGCTTATAAGCAACATTAAAATAGACAAACTTTACTGGATTTAAATCTCAATGTATCATATGAGCAGTGACTCAAATGAAATAAATTTCTGAAAGTTCAGTTTTGATTGTAAAACCCTGATACTTAATTTATCCTTTTCTCAAAGATATTTTTAACTGAAATATTCGGATTTTTTGCTAATTTCAAATAACCCGCACAGTCATCTTCCAATGCTCTTACGTACTTGCGTCCTTATGTTTTTCATTTAATTAGCCGTAATAAGAAGTAAGTTAAGCTCATCACTATTGTGAAAATTTTGACCTGGACCATGCCTTATACCCTCAAATAAATCCAATAGAAAGCCTCATATTTGAGGTCAGTTCAGCTGATTTTTCTATGGTATATTTCCATATTGTTTTATACTTTTCGAATAAAATGTATCGCCCATTCCTAATTAGTAAATGCAACTTTGTATCCCTTTCTCACACTATTTTTGATTCCTCAAGCTCCTTTTGTCAATATTCATTTACCCGAAGTTCTCATATATTTAATTTATTGTTTACTCCATATTACTTCCAAGAATTTTGTCAACTACTTCATAATCTGGCTTTTTCAATTTTTAAATGTTTGTCTCTAAGCTTCTCATTTAACCTAGCCTATTATTCTACATTGATAGCAGTTTCTAGAAGTTCTCCAGCAAAACTTTGTAAAACTTGCCATCAGCCTGAATGTAACTATTCCTCAGATGAACAGACGAGCCCTCTTTCCTTCTCGCCTCTGGATAGAAACTCTTGTCCAACAAGCGAAAACTCTTTTTGGGTGAGGATATCATTATTTAAATGTTTTTAATACATCTGACGCGATTGCCAGTCTTATGTTTTTAGGCCCTTCATAGCTTCTAATTTATTTGATTTCTTATTTGTGCATCTTCGGAAATCAGAATTAAAGTACTTTTTAACAATTATCGAAAATATGAGTAAATTATTATTTTTAACTGCTTAAATTCTATAGGCTTTATTTATTATTTCGCTTATCGTCCTTTTTCCTATGTTTTCAAGTCCCATTTGCACATCAGGATGCTTAAAAGATCTTCATCTAATTGAGTTAGCTATGGGCACCTGCACTGCTCTTCGTACCTCCAAACACCGTCGGTATAGATTTACTCTGGAACCTGAACGCACTTATGCACACACCACCAGATCGCAAGACTCGCCCACTGTCAACCTATCTGGTCTAATATCCCGGTACGAACCACTTGTTTTGGCATCTTTGCAGACCGATACCTCCTTTGGCCTTTCTGACCTTACGATGTTGCATTTGGTCAAGAAGAGTACCGTTGAAGCCCTTCAAGCGGCAGGGTAAGCCTTGTCATTTCACTGACCTGCTTTCATGGGAATACCTCTATCCACTTCCGATATTTGAGTGTATGGATTGAAATTATGAATACCTTGTTCCGTGAAAGCGGAGTTGTGCTCGTTGTACTATTAGTAGCATGCTTAGTCTCTTGCAAGAATGGGACGGGAAGGAATTCGTCTGGTTTGGCTAAGCTGATCTGACTTGTTTGATGGCACTATGAGCACTATATGAGATGTATTCACCCTATTTTGTTTGAGGTGATAAAAGATTTGTAGTAGAATTTTCCCAAAATGATATGAGTAGAACTGAAGCTTCCATTAAATTTCTCATAGCCTTGCTTTCCCAAAAGTTGTTCTCATCCAGAGTGGAGGGCAGTTTCGACTTCGCCTAGGTCTTATCAGCACCCCGGGAGTCGAATCGTGACAATGCATCATTTGAGCTTGGCGCGTTAACCACCCAGCCACATTGCCACGAATGCCCTTGGATCACAAGGAAGATGTGGATTTCAAGGAAGGCCAAGCCTTTTCCCACTCCTGCTGGGGATGTTGATAAGACCTAGGCAAAGTCGAAATTGCCCCCCACTCTGGATTAAAATTTTTTTTGGAAAGCAAGGCTGTGAAATTCAATGGAAGCATCAGCTATACCATAGCTACTAAATTAAGGTTGAAATTTTGAAATTAATGATTATTAGGAGTATGAGGCTAGAGGATAACAAAATTTGAATAAAGAGCTAAAACGGCTAACAAATTTATTCCTGAAAAATAATTATTCTTTGGGCCTTATTGAGAATAGTATCTATTTACTGAGTAATAAATTTTTAGATAGACAAGCTGAAACCTTACCCATGTCCAAATTTTACCATCATCCCTTCTTTCAAAAAATAGGCGAATTATTAAGGAAGTGGGGGATTAAAAGAGTGCTTAAAGTAGCCTTCACACTTCTGTTATGCCATCTTTTAAAGAGAAATATGACCCATTATCAAGATCCGGCTGGTACATGTGGTTGATCTTATGTTGGTGAGACATGCCAACCTATTCGACAAAGATTGGGGGAACACAAAAATGCTTGCAAACAAAGCTAAGTACAATGATCAGAAGTGGCCGAACACATGGTAGAAACTGGACATGAGATAGAATCGTCTCAAACTAGTAGGTAGGTCTGTTGTTAAAAGAAAGATAAGAGAGGCTATTGAAATCAATAGATTAGGAAATACGTTGAATGTGAATGACTGTGGTGAAAAACTGAGTAGGAACTTATTATGCTTGATTAATAGATTGAAAGAGAGAGGTGTCTAACCGCTATCCAAAAGAAGGCGACCAGAATAAAGATAATTAACAAAACCATTCTATATCGATCTGTTTTTTAAATCCTTTACTTAAATGAGACTATATAAGAGGTAAGAAAGAGCCGAATAGTATTCTTGTCTTAGTGTTAAATTGATAATTTTACAAGAATGAGTCCCAGCTCTGATGATGTCCAGCATATGTTGGACATAAGTTCTGCCCGTTTTCACCCAAAAAGAGGGAGGATGTCTCGTGGACTGCGTCAATCTCAACGTCGTATAAAAGTCAAACGGCTGCAGTACAATGGGATTCAACCGTCCGTTTCTGGTGAGATCGACCTTCGAATCTCTTCTTCATATACCTTCATACGAAATGAAAGTCCAACCAATAATTTCTGTTTAGCATCGTCTTTAATTACACTTGAAATGCATTTCTACTGGTTTTCAGTTTGAATTTAGGCTTTTATTCGTAACTGTGATCAAACATACCCAAATGCTGTTTGTCGTTAGTGTCCCGTTGTCTAATAAGGACTGATCATTGGTAGGCTGAGTTTCCTTGGTGCAATCATATTAATTTAAATACAGATGTAAATATTTAAATGCAAACAGACCGCCCCCTGGCTTTGCAATCCCAGTGTAAATGAACTACAGGACAAAGATAGAGTAAAAACTTTTCCTTTCGAACATTGGAGTAAAATGATCCTACTCCCTTTTGATGAATTATGCCTTGGAGCCTGTCCTGAGACAGGTAGAGAAGATAAAAGATTTAAGAATGTGGTACTGAGGTTGCATAAAGATCAGATCGCTGGTAGTGAAACTAGCTTAGCGCATGATAACGCGTAAGGAGAACAAGGCCCTGGACAAGTCACTTACTCACTGATTCCGCCCGCATGGTTTTAATGTCGACATCTGATTGGTGCAAGAG